TTTTTTGACTTTTTAACTTAATAGATTATAAATGATTAATTACAGGTCACATGTAATACATGTGACGGTGAAAATGTTAAATTCAGGATCCTAACGAGGTACAGGCAAATTTGAAAAAGATAAGAGAAAAAAAAAGAAGAAGGGAAAAGGATTAACGATGGTAAATCTTTGCTATAATGTATTCACGAAGTTACACCTTGAGATGCAAATTAATACGTCCTTGAGAAAAAAGAAAATTCAATAACACATGGGGAACGTTTGTAAGATTGGTACGCGCGATAGGATTGGCAGTCCGGCATGAATTATATGGTCACTCTTGTTTATCTGTTCCAAACTCGTACCACTCCATCTCCTTCAGATGTTTCGAATATACGCTCTTCGATGAGCACTACTGGCAATTAATTAGTCAGTCTCTTCGATTCCCACCAAGTCAGATCATTTATTTTCCGGACTAGTTTTATAATTTAGGCGTGTTTCTATCATTTCACCTTTAATATAGCTCGCTCGAGAAACAGAGCAATCCTTTCACGATGTTTTAATTATCAGTATTAGTAGCTCCAATCATAGTTGAAATCTCGAATACAACTTCACAGAGTTCCCTCTATATTTCATGGGAAATTAATGATCGAGTCTAGGTAACGTTCTAACGATGCGTAATACTTTATACTTTTAAAACGAAACGCTTTTGATAGAATTAGAACTTTCGTGTCGAGAGCATGAATCAAATTTTCGCTAAACATGGTATATCTCTGAACTTTGTGCTTTGTTGACCCCTTTAGCGTTCTACTTTTATTCGCAGCATTTAATCATATTCCTCGAAATGATTCCCTTGGTAGACAGCACTTTCATCTCACCTTTAACCACTCTTATTAGCTCGATGATCTTTTAAACATTTCCAATTACATGAAAATGATGTTTTTTAAATAATTTTGGAGTTTCATTAATGAATAAAGTTGCGAGGCTTTTCACTGTAGTTCCTTGTGAAGCAACAAACTCGTTTACATCTATTACACTTCGCATAATGGCCACAATAACTAATCAAGTGAATACTCTGTGACGTAAAGGTTCTCAGCAGAATGGTAAATTGCTTTTATCGTCGCACAGTAGGGTATTTGCCAGATCTGAGCGGCCAAAATTAAAGACAAGTCTATATTGACTTTTTATAAGAAAATATAATGTAATATAATAATAGACAATAAAATGCGTCGTGCAGAGGGTGATCATAATCATTGAAGAAATAATATAGAGAAATTTGTATGAATACAGTTCCATTGCCGTTTGGATACTTCATACGTAGCAGATGTTTTGAAGCATGACTCTGCACGACAAAATAGAATCGAAAATCAACGGAGACGAAATTAATAATAGCGCGTAAGCAAGTCTCCGTCTTTGTCCTTCGCACTGTGCGTTACAGTCGTGTTCGTACTGACCTACCTCACGCGTGCCATTATTGGTGAAACAGAGAGATTTTTTCCCGTTAATGACTTGGAAACGAAGTTAACACCGCAATTTCATCATTCGTGATTTTCGTTTTAATTAACTTGCACAATCTCTCAAGATATCTACTACATACATTTGAACATCGTGTAGGTACGTGTCCGTATGTAATATTGATTGATTTTTATTTTGTTAAAAATATATTATCGATGAATTGATTTTACAAAGAATGTTTGTGTTCCTAAAACTTTAGAAAGTGAGCTATAATTTCTTTTATTAGATTTATGAGAAATAACTGGTAGATAAATAATCGCTTGAACATATCAAGCTTGCCTTTATCTTCGCTGTAATCACAAAATCCGTAAAATTTCTTTAGATATTTTCATAGTTTCGCATAAATTAAACCTTGTTGAAATTTAAATGATTTCAAAAGTTTAAAACTTTTCATCGACGCGTGTACGCGAACGACGACCGGTCATTTATACGTTACAAGTCTAATGCTTATTAGGTCATCCCATAAGCAATCATTTCTTACCAATTTTTTTAATAGAAAATGACAGAACATTTTCGAGAATGGCATTAAGAAATTACTCGAAAAATGGGAAAAGGTCATACGCAACGACGGTTAGCACGTCGACGATTTAAAGAAAACGTAAGTACTAATCTTTCACACTAGAAATTAGCATGAAAAAGACGACATTGCTTATAGAATGACCTAATATTATTATAACATCAGAAGATTCTGTTACATACCGTTGTCCCAAGCAGCTTCCTTCGTTCTAAGCAGAGCGGCAAGTCCAATGTTGTCTTTGGGCATCACTCTATTCAACATATTGTCCGAGCCCTCCGCGTTCGCCATTGCCAATTGATTAAATTCGACTAAATGCTCCTTTATCAAGGTAAATCTATTGAAACAGAAAACCAGAAGCGGAGCGTGAGGATTGTTTACGGCGAACGTTAATCTCGGGCATGCAAAACATTCCATCGGCGAGAGGGAAAAAGAAGTTCCCCCGTTCGATTCGACGATGCGAAAGAAGCGTTGCTACTCGGGGCGAGTCAGACGATTTTCGTGATGCAACTCGTAAGGAGGCGTATTACACGCGCCATGTGGAATATAAACTTCCTCTACGATATGTGTTGCACGTATAGTTAGGAAATATATTCTTTACCGAATACCTATTACCCGCCATCATCCCTCTTACGTCTTTAAACCCGTAAACAAGATTGAATCAACGTCACCGGTAAATACGTAGTTGCTTAACAGATGATGGGCGGGAATTGCGTAAATACTTTCACGAGAATGTCAACTGTGCACGATGGAAATAAATTTATTATCGAGGAATTAGCAGTGTCTTAAACTTGGACCGATCACTGAAGGTGAAACGGTCACGACTATTCGACAGCAAGTATTAGGTAACAAGAATATTGTATAAGACATTTTTCGAAACACGATATTAGCAGAGTAGTATACAGAGAATACAGTTATAAAAAGTAGTTTTATTAAGTTTATCCCTCTGCAGACGAGAAATTTTGAACTTTCGGGAACTCTTTCCATAAAGAATCGAATCATGTATCGAAATCTTAAATATTAGAGAAAAACCACGTTACTAATGTCTAATTATTTGAGTAATTAAATTGTTCGTTTGCACCTTTTACTTTTAGATATGAAAGCTCGAAGTCGTTATCATAGCGATATTCGACTGCAAAGGTATAAATGCGTTGGAATACAGGAACAGGTGAGTGAAATATTGAAACTGATACGACGATAGACGAAAGACGACGATCGAAGTCTCGGAATAATCGTCGAGCACCGGTATTCAAATGTTTCACACTTACTTGGCTGTTCGGTAAAAGATAGCACAACCATCGACGTATTTCCGGTCATTCTCCGCCATTGTCTTCGCCCGCGACTTCGGAGAAAAAATTCCATCGTAGCCGTCGTGCTTGAGCTCGGGCAGAAAAAAATTGTAGAACTGATCTGTCTCCACCTCCTGCAGGCTGATTATATCTGCAGCGTAATGTCTGATCTCGTCCAGAATCCCCTTTTTCCGGTATTCCCAGTCGAGTGCCCAGCTTGGACAGTAACCGTACACCTGACGGGTCGCGTATTTGTCGCATAACACGTTGTAACACATCACTGTGAATATACCTGTAATATAAATCGGAACATCGTATAGGAGCGTGAATGATTAAATCTAGCTAAAAAATTCTACAAGATATAAGGACCCTTTATTCATTTTGTTTATAACATTTGTAAGTTCTTGTATTCGAGGATATAATTAATTCATTTATTAATTTGCCTAGATTTAAGAAGGCTAGGAGACTCCTGCAAAAGAACAGACTTATTTGTAGTTGGAACCTAAGTTGATACTCGGAAAAACGAATTTAATTTTATGAAATTAAAAATGATTAACAAATGAAACAGCTTTGAAACATTAATATTTCCAAAATATTTCCAAGATTCTTAGGGAATGTTTCCCACAAGTAAATCTCCGCTCTTCTACGTAACAGCCCAAGGTTTCGTTTATCTAGAGCTTTCCTCTAGATATCCTCTGCCCCCATTGCTTCATGTTTATTCAATTTTTCATTTTCTCCGCTGCGTTGCAACATTCTCGAAAATTACACGCGTTACAGTTTATGAGACGCAACTGGCGACATCAAATCTCTTCCTCGAGCTTCCGAAAACGTTCGAAACATTCCCAATTGTACGCTAGACTTCAACGACTGCCCGTGATCCCGTGAAATATGAAATCCAGCCGAGAAAATGAATGTTTATTATTGCGATCGTTCGAACGGTACAATCAGTTGGTTGGGGTTCGACGAAAGACGGTTTTTTCCACGATGAGCAAATGACATGTCACAAATCCAATTTGATTTCAGAGGCGGTTTTCGTCGTGCCCATTCGGCCGTACGGCTTTTCTTGAGAAGTGGACGTCGAAGCGTGCTACAGCCAGTGCTTACTTCAGTGCCTGTATACTTTATTGGATTGCGGCAGATACCGCAGCTCAATTATTTACACTCTCTATAGGCAAGTTGCTCCCGGCTCCTAGCAACCGTTCGCAGTAATAGGACCACTGATTTACAGCTTTAACTCGGCCGTCTATCGCGAACCTGCGCTGAAATTAGTTCGAGCGCATTGGTAAAAGCAATATACGGAGATCCTCGCCGTAGAGAATCACGATAGCTCTTGACTAAATCATCTCGCTTAATCCTGATACTGTCACTATCGATCGTTCTCCACTTACGCTACCGGAAACATTTTTCTATCATCACAAATGAACGAGACGTGTTATTGTTAAATAGACATTAAACCTTTTTTAACATGTCTCCGTTAGCATTGGATCCGATTTATAATCGCATCTCATTGGTAATAAGAAATATTGATCGTTCGCAAGCCAGTTCATTAATCGTTTCAACCGCAAGGGCCACGGAACGCTTTCACAATGTTACTACAAAAAATAATTGAATCTTGCGATCCCTCTTTCTTGCATGGCACGCTGCATGTTTTTAAGAACAATAGAACGCGACTGTTGTTCATTCGACGGGTTTAATATTTATTTTACGTGATAAAATGTTTGACAGAGGTGATACGAAAGTGGCGTTTCATTGTGTCCGAATTAAGAAATTGTTTGGTGTAGAGGAGACGAATATAATTGTCTGATGTTTGCGATAAATGAATTTTGTAAAAAGTGAATTTTGTTAACACTAGAACTACCGTACCAGTCAAAATGATTGGTTTCGATTTTCTTGCTTCGCATTTATTGATACTTTAGAAGCGTTGAATATTCGAAATAATTTCGAAAATAAATAGTTTCATTTGAATACTATGACAAATATCGGAAGAAACTGAAAAAATCTGTTATTACAATTTTTATACGGATTACATGTCAACCATATTAAATGCTCGGTAGTTCTCCAGTATTAAATCGTGAGGAGGATATTTATCTACACGCGGGAAAAGTTACAATACGAAGTTCCAAGGGTAATGGATAGGTGGCGGAAGCTGGTACTAGCTGCACACATGGAAAACCATCGCTAAATGACAAGGTACAGGAAACCATTAAACCAATTTATGAAGAGCTGACATCTGATGAATTGTTGGGACGATATCTTGCTGCATTCGTATCGAATAACAATGAATCTTTACATTCATTGATATGTATCCCCGTTATAACCGACGAGTAACATGCCGGTTAAAACTATATTTTATCGTTAAATATTCATAACCAAAGAGTCCAGGTGTATACGTTTATTTAAATCTTTAAAAAAAGAGACATTTCAGAGACTACTTCAAAAAGGTACACCTAGACGAAAGATACATCAAACTCTGATGTCTACAGTACCCATTCGTAAACAAATAATTTAGTTACTCGAACAACCGAAAGTTAAAGTAAAAATGTTCTTTTTCCTAATATTCAAGAGTGCCATATGGAATTTAGCTTCTTCCGCTAAGGATTTCGAATACTTCAGAAGGTCTTCAAAGTATTAACCCTTCGCACTCGAGGGGTGACACTCAGCCACCACTTGATCTGATATAGCAAAATTATTAAGTCTTATGTGTAATATTAACACGTTGAATACCACGCGATTTCATACAGCGAAATACACAAAATGGAAAAAATATAATATTAGATAATTCGATTAAATATCATTATTATTATTGCACGTTCATCTAGGTGAATGTCACAGCATTAGGTAGCATTGTTTATGATACAGAAATCTTTTTAAATAATCATAGTTCAACTGAGTGAGCTACAGTGATTCGATTTGATTGGCTTTGAATAAATATCATTAATATGATTTTCAACAAATATTAAAATACACTTGCTATTAATTCATTCTCCCTTTATTTTTTAATGTGAGCCTTTTCAAATTTTGTAGATGCTATTCGTACATTTTTTAATGATCGTTTTTCAAGCCTTACTAAATTACATCGAATTAGTTCGGCATTTTTCACTTAGATACAATGTCTACGGTCGGCGCTAAAAGGGTTAGGATTAGAACCGATGTGAAACAGGAGTTCGATCAATGGACAATGGATCCAAATGGTCGCTGAATGGTTCACGTGATCTTTGTCCACGGTTGCTTACGCAATTAAGTAAGTAACCCGATCAGATTTTCCGAGACTGGTTCGGCTCGCGGAGTTGCCGGCTTTCACGGTTCCTCTGGCTGCCATTGACAACTGCTTTCTCCGCGGATCGCGTAGCAAGAACACCCACGCGTTGAATATACGGGAAGAAAGGAACGATCCTCCGAAGTCTAGGGATTAAAATCTGCGGCTGACAGGAACCGGATAAGTCTGTTCGGCCGTCGACGATCGAACCCCATCGTCGAATTCCTCGGCCGTGACGCGCGTGTTCGGTAACCGTTCAATTATTAAAGTCGAATCGATACCTTCCTTGGAATTCTATTTCGAACACTTCGTCGGTCTATGCGACTCGTTGCTTTTCTCGGAGGAGGATTTCGTGTTCTCATTTTTAACCAGTTAACTGTGTTTGACGAGTATACACGTCATCGTAAAGCTTGACATGATACTAATTCTTTCAGCGATGAATTCTTTATTTTTTCACATAAACAAGTAATTCTTCTTTGTTTCGCTTTGATCTTTCATTAAAATATACTCTACGTGCATTCGTCCTGCGTTCGACGAGTACACGCTCCATTTTTCGATTTTATCGCGCACAGAATCAGAGGTTTTTCAAACTAAATTCCACAGTTAATCGGTTAATATACACTGTCTGATTACAAATGTCTCTTAAACCTTTGCGGATCACGGTATTCTTGTTTCTACATTGAAAGCGTCGGTGTTATTTAATTTCATTATAGATTAACACTTTCACCGCCACGAGAAGTTTCAGCGTTTCGTATAATACTGCTCATTCTTTTATAGCGAATGCGAATGGTATTAGAATTAATTATTGGAGATTTTATACTATTATATAGTTATTTTAAATATTTTTAAATTACATTACTAAATAGTTTTATTCGACACCGATTTTCTTATTGCGATTCTTTTCAAGGAATTGGGAAGCTCCTGTCATCGGTGACCACCGTGGCAGTCAACGCGTTAACATGACGTTTTAATCATTTATTCAGGAATATTTGGGATATACTAAAGTTGTATTTGCGTTGTGGAATTGTTATGTTGTAGGCAAGTATGGTAGAAATTGGTGAAATGCTTAATGATTCTGTTGATTTAGGATCGCAGAGGGTTAACTCTTTTGGTGCCGAATACTTTTCTGAACTTCGAGGAAACTAGTTTTATTCGTTTTTCAAGATTGCCACGGGTACTCTGTAGATGCAATCCTTTTTAGTCTGTAAGTCGAGACTCCGCAAGTTTGTCGTAAAATTAGAGAAGGACTGTTTCACTAGAGATGACACTTCAGTGTCTACACTGCAGGCTCTACAGATAGTAGATGGTACGGGCAGTGTTGGCAATAAAGCTGAATAAACATGATATTTTACGGGGAAAATCATTCTCTTTTATGCAGGGGGTAATGATGTTTTTAGTAGCTTCTAAGCAACAACGCCGGCGGCGATGAAACACGGAACTGTGCTTAGTAAGCGTTGGATTATGACGAAACTAAGTCGCGCCAGAGTTGAAAAACGTTGACCTGTGACTGCAGGACTTATCTCGTAACAAGAGTCTTAAAAGTGACCACCGCAAACGAGCAAAGAAATAACAGGTGTACCGTGGTCGTTTCAAGGGAAGAGTTTTCAACAACAGAGCACGCTGGAATGCTGGTGTAGCAATTTGTTTCAATTTTTCAGTTCGAGTTGACGCAAACGTGTTACAAGGGTCCAAGCAAATAATCTTTATCGTTAAATGAATAATTATATTCTCGTCTATTTATCCTCGTCTGTTCAAAAATTGCGGGAATTATAACTAATTAAATATCGTTTCATGTTATGAATCTGGCAAATGCAAAACGGTAACAATATTCGTAAAAAGAGCCGCTACGAAGCAGCTTTTTAGTAATATTTAACATCGAGTTCGTAGATCGCGAATTCGTATAACTGTTCCATTTCTAATTATTCATGTTCCCTACATGTTCAATCTTCATGCACGGCCATTTATTTTAATAATCTGGACACGGTCGGTGACTTTATAAGCAAGTATTCAAGTAACCACGTATTCCGTAAAATTACAATATTTAGAACGTTTAACTAAACGAATTGCAAACTGCTAATTATATATATATTTTTTTTCAAATAACGCATTAACACGATTACACTTGCGAATTATTAACGATCACTGCACACCGAATTAGCAAGACCATAATGCTTTAACAGCCGTTAAGTAGCGTTTCACGAATTAACTTATCAATTTAAACATTCCCAACATTTCAGTTTATTAAATGTTTCTAATCAAGGTTACAATTAGATGTGGTTCGCAACGTCTCTAAACTATCCGCCCACAAATATCTCGAAAAGAAAATCAATCTTTCGAAATTCCCAAGTGTCGCAACCTGCCACGCGAGGTGTGAGGTACGTTTCCATATTAATGTCCGCATATTAACGTTTCCATATTAAACGAGTAGAATTTTTAAACACGCCCAACCTTCTCGCGAATATTCATCCGCTGCGAGCGCGCGTGTCCCTGCCATTCAGCGTGCGCAAGAAAAACAACCGGAGCAGGTTGTCACGTTCCATAACTAGGTGCCGGTAGAAAATTTCGCGCTCGCCCAATACGTATTACCTTCCATCCGGGCCTGACCGTTACAATACCGCTGGTTGCCCTTTTTCCTATCCTCCATCTCGACCCGGGAACGCGTGGAATTATTTGAAATCCGTTGGTCGTGATGGGTTGATACGTGCAGTAACGCGGAATGGGACTAACGACCATGCCAGCAGGACCGTGCAAATTACTTCTTGCGGCTCTCGCGACGCCCCTGACAATCATAATCATTACCGGGGCCCGTGCATGGTCAGACGTGCTGCGCAGCTTCTTTGGAAGACAGTAATTATGCGTCATTATCATTCCGACGTTCCGCCCCCTATCCACCCCCAGCAGCTCGACCGACACAATTAGACTCTTATTAGAATGACCATTTAAGCTGCAATCATTACTATTGTCACTTTCATCGTTACCGGCTACCCGGATTGCCAGATTTCATTAATAACGACGCCTTTTACTTTCGCCCGCGCCGGGCGGATCGTTAGGCGGCCATCGCCGCTTGTTAACCCTTTGCCCCATGATTTATTTCTTAGTACTAGACTTACGGACACTTATTCTACATTTGATTTGATCGTTTCTAGAAGACTACACGTTTGTTTATGTAGAAATTAGTGTTTCAAGAATAGAGCATTATAAAGTGTAGTTGCATGATAGCATCCGTCAAGATCGATTTAAACTGTCGCCAAATAATATTCGACAGATTTAATACCCGTCATACCGACGGGTTTCGGAAATCTAGTTTAAGCTCAACTAAGTGTATTGTCAATAATTTGCGACAAATGCGGAGAATTTCATTTATTGTAAGTACACGATAACTTTGAAGCTGAAATAGTGAAAATAGTGTTTCCCCTCGATCCACGTACTGTGAGGAATATTGATTTCTATTAAATTGATCAGAAAATCTTCACCAAGAGTTTCACTGGTCATTACAGGGCAAGGGGTTAATCTAGAAATCTTTATTGCGAGTCTTAATTGTCGTTGTATGATAAAGGGTTAATGCGTCGATGATGAAGCTTCTTAATCGCGAACGCGTCTCTAATCATTGTTAGACCGGTTCATTATTATGCTACCGATCATCCGCGCTCGTGTCCGCGCGTTAACTGGACAAGCGAAAAGGGAAAAACACGGTTGAATATGGGGATGAAAAGTGGCCGCGAACCAAGATACCGAGGAAAAAAACGTCCCCTGTCGAATGGCGAGCCCCCGTGCTCGCGAAGGGTAGTTACAGGGACATATTGGACTATCAGTTTTTCTTCTATTTTTCCTATTTTCGTCGCGTGCAAAAATTCAGGGAAAAAATCTGGCACATCGGGACAGACGTCAAGCAATTTTTTCTGATTTTTCGGTTGAATATGCCGGTCGCACGAAATGGAAAACGATGCGGGGTTCGAAGGAAGGAACGGTTTCTCGTTGCTTTTTGATAGTGATATCGAGTAAATATAATTCTGCGGGGACGTGTTCCAATAGTCGCTACGAAATATTCGGTACTCTCAATCGCCACTTGATTTGATACAGTTAAATTCCAAAATATATAATATCAATCCCTTGCCATACGATTCGTTTTTCAACGATGATCGATACATTTACTTCGTTACCAATAATGGATTACTAATACTGAGAAGAGACAATAATTCTGGATATGTTCTATGTATATGTTTGCTCTGAACTATAATAATTGATAACAGAGGAATAATATTCAATTTGAATTCTCAAGAACCGAGCAATATTTATGCTTGTTAAATTCTATTTAAACACGAGTCTGACGCGTTATTGTAAGGCAAGAGGTTAAGCTTAGTATAATGCATCGATATATACAATATCGGAATAAAATATTTTTGTGAAGAACTTTCGAGTGTAAAGGGTTAATATAAACCTGACCTTCGATTTGCGCGGACCTTTTTCACGTGAGCCTCTTTTTACGCGGTAAATTGGAACACTATTTACACGATAGTTTTTACGCGATCTGAACTTAGTAACAGTATATATAACAATATTTTCTTTTCTCCTGTCTTCACCGACAGGCCCTCTATTTACGCGATTTTCGTTCGCGTCAAACGAACCCACGTGGGACGGATTTTCGCATAAATCGAGGATCAGGTGTATATCCACAACTTACTGTTTCATCGTAGGATTACAATAAACAGTATACGCGTGAAATGAAATCTATCATTTCCTGATCAATTATACCCAACTGCTCTGTTATTAATATTACTTATTATTAATCCCGCGTAACTGTAGACGGGTCACGAAGAAGACGGAATTTAAAAAAACAATGAATGCCGTATCCCATAATGAAATGATCGATCCCCTCTGTGGCGTAGAGGATCCGACAATAGGCGGTTTTTCTATCCCGCTGATGGCAGATTGGCCAGCGTCTTTCTTTATTCCGTTCAGGTGTACCGTTTTCTACCTCTTTCTTGATGTTGCGCAATAAATCTGTCCATATGGCGCGGTATAGCCATCTCCAGAACGAAACCCGCTGGTTCAGTGGCTCGGCGTTGACCAATGGTCAAGGTGTTCGTAGTTGGGGCAGGCAATGTTACCTTGCCTCGCGGGACATTTATTAAACCCCCTGATTCCCCCACACGTTTTATCCTTCACGATATGCCATCCCAGTGCTTTCTATTCACCAGCAGCTAATATTTGTTTAATTTCGCTCGTGGATTACGCCGGTTCCATTAGAGACCTCAATTAGACTATGCTTTATCTCCTTGTTCATAGAACGCCCTAAAATGTTTGTTGACATCTGGGCTACCTGCGAAATCCGTTGCTTCGTACTCTTTTATAGTAATCGTAAAAGTATATTTATTCACGTGAAAATTTCTTTAAATCGGTAATAATTTATTAGAAGGTATTAATATTTCTTTAATAATCGCAGAAGAAGCAACTGTTGTAATTACTGTTAAGTTATAATTACCTTGTATCAATTAATTAGTGACCCTACTGAATCTAGCGTTAGTCATTATCTAAGGAGCAATTGAAAAAATCTAGAACTTCAGTTTATGATCCTTTCATATCAATTAATTAGTGATCCCACTAAATCTAGCGTTAATCGTTATCTACGAACGAATCGGAGCACTATTGTATTTCTTTTTCCCACGAATACCGACCGAATTCCCAATGATGAAACGTGTTTGGCACACAAGTTGCTTCACTCACGTACTCGAAGGGCAATTTCGAAGTTTCTTCCGTCCGCCATTGTGCGCGACGTTGAAAATCGGTGGTTCGACTTGCGGCCGCGGATTTTGTATCTCATGTCAGTCAGCTGTGCTTTTGGCCACACGTACAGGCGGACACACCGACGAAAACGGAGGGCAATGCACCCAACCACGGGTCTCCCCTTTCAACGTTCAGCCACGATTTTTCCGCAGCTTTTAACGTGTTTCCTCTTAATTCCTCGTTTTTTAATAATACAACGTGCACTTGTTCCCGGTAATTTTTCATGCGCCACGCAGCACTTCGACGGAACCTCATTGTAAATGAACCCCTTGCCCTACAACATCGTGCGAGACTCGCGACGAAGATTTCCAACAGAATTTCGCAAATAATAATCTCTTTCAATTCAAATGAAATATCCAGTTTCAATGATCAATCACAGTTCTCTAAAGGAAACATAGACATCGAATGACCGTGAATCGTTCTCCTTCTTCTAGTGAATTGGAAGCAATCAAATAGTTCTATCGAGTGCAACTGTGAAAGAAACCATAAGGCAAGGGGTTAATGTAGAAGACGTGCACGCAACAACTTCGGAAATAAGCGTTCCGCGGTGAACATTCACGCGGATTCATTGTTACGAAAGAATGTTCCACTTCTGGGCGCAGCGTGTTAATCGTTGCCGCGATAATCGAACGCATTGTGCGGCGCGTTTCAATTACACTGATTAATTCGTACATACCACGCGTCTGCTCGTTGCGAAGAACGCGCGTTCGCGTGCGCAGACGAAGGTTTATCACGTTCAATTCTAAAGTGTTCGTTACCGGATCATATTTGGTAATTGTTTCCTCGTTCGCACAGGTTTCGTCGAGATCGTCGGTAAATACCGTTCAGCGAGGAGGAAGCCGGAGAAAAAAATGATCGAACGCCTCTCCGTTACGCCGGTTTTCGAATTAATGACACGCTTCATATTTGATAATCCCTCTTTAATGGAACTTCAATAAATCCTTCTAAGGAAATGTTAAATTCTGATTTAACTGCTGCCGTTATAGGGCGCAGGAATAATAAATTACTTGCTGGCGTTGAACGCGTTCTCGGATTACTTATTATGTTTCTAATAACAGTAACTAAATATATTACCATGCGATAACAATAACGAACCCATTAATTCAGCTGAAAAATTGTTTTCTCATTCTGAAGACTATTTAATATCGTTTCATTAACGTCGGTTTATTTCCGACTCGACGATCCAAACGAACGCGATTTTATCGTTGGAAGAGATTAGATTGTTTTTGTTTAACTTACATGTCGGTCTCGTCCTGTTTGGTCTCGTCAATGGTATCCACGGTCTCTGCGGTGGATGATTTGCAGTAACTGTAAGCAGACGAAAACGGTCATTAATAACAACGCGAATCAACATTTTATTGCGGTGCCGAATAGGGGACGGTTCCCGCAGCGTGTTCGTCCGTGAACGTGTGTCTAAGCCGCACTCGAATTCGAATCAAACTAAGGAAATTATACGTTCGAATAGTCGAAACTGTACGAAATTTGTCGTTCTCCTCAACCGTGGAATTTAGCATTAAAAATCTCTCAGCCATACACCAAACATAAAACATCAAAGCAAAATGAAAGAAGAATCACAAGTTTATCAGACTAAATAAGTAATCAGAATTCAGAAGATTAGTATTATTTATTTCAAGATGACGGCTGTACTCATCGAACACGGTTGACACGTTGACCGCCACGAGAATTTTGAGTGTTTCATATAATGTTACTCATTCTTTCGCAACGAAGGCAAACAGTAATAGAAAGAATGATTAATAATTTATCACAACTCTTAAGTCGCACTATCGTGTAGTTACATACACAACTAAATATTTTTATTTGACATCAGTGTCCTTTCTCTAATTATTTCCGAACAATTCGGAAGCACCGATCATCGGTGATCAACGTGTTAACCGATTAATCCACGAGCACCTAACAATTGCGTATGAAAGGAAAACGAAAAAAAAAGTAAATCAAGATCTTTCATGATCCCTCATGAAAGAACCAGAAAATCGTCCAACCGAATTCCTTATTGAAACACTCCGTGAAGCCAGTCGGTCGACGTTCGAATAAAGATCCCGCGAACTTAGTCTTAACTAAATACGCACGATTTCCCTAGCCGTCCCTTAAGATCAAATAGAGATTTAGTTTGAAATTCTAACGAAACGTTTTGAAAGTTTTTGAACTCGGTGCGTGCGCGCGCGCGCGCGCGTCACTATCGTGCAGCGCCGCGGACCCGGGCAAACGAAACGCGTCGAATGACAGCGCGAACAAATTAGAAGTTCCGAGTTGCACATGCACGAAGGTTGGGTTGGTTAAACCCGAGTCCCAACTAGAAGATTACTA